ATTCCGATTGAATTATTGGCAGCACAGAAATAATAGGTATAAGTACTGGTTTATACGACAACGAGATGCGCACAGAATAAATAGCGCCGGTCCATACAATTCTACACCATAAGCAGCGGTATCTAAAACGCGAGAGCGAAAAAACAAATCGAGAACGAGCGACGCAGAACTTGAATCCGAGCAGAAAGAATAGAGAAAAACGAATGACTGAAATAAACGAATGAATGCCTCACAACGCGCGCGGCCCATCCCACGAAATCTCGCTCGCCCGTCGCGAGTTCGGGTCGTGGTCCTGCCCGTGCCCATACACATCGAGCTCGCCCTGGTGGTAGCCCTGTGCATAGTACTGCTCGTGCCCATGCCCCCCCCCCCTCTGACAGATCCATCTCCGCGTTCATATCCATGTCCTCCGCCCGCCCATGGCCAAACGACCCCTCCGGTGCCGTTGCATAACTCGCATAGCTCGCCGCACTCGCAGACCGCACCGACTACCCCCCGTGCCCCGCAGAGCTTAGGATACGCCGACGGTAGACTCCGCACCGCGGGCATCTCAAAGTGCTGCTGCATGGAGTTGAGCGTCCCTGCGCCGGGCACCGGCGGCGAAAAGGGCACATCATACGAGGGCATCACAATGGGCATTCCAGTTTACAAGTACCAAGTCTGCCCGAGCGGCGAGAGATTCATTGATCTTGGCCTTCCACAGATTTGGGCTGTTGATAAATAACAAAGAAGTGACCATTTGAAGAAAAGACGAACATGCTTGCGTCCCTCCCCTCTGCGGCAGGGAACCCGGCTGCTCGAGCCCAGAAATCGTGCCCGAGGAGGGATGTCACGTAACTCGATTGAGTCAGATTTAGTAGCGGAGAATGCTGACTGCGACTGCCTCCTCCGAAAAAAATAATACTGCGCTCCGTTGTGGCGAGAGGGGAAAAAGTAGAGTTTCGAAACAAGTTGCGCTGGATGGGAAACGCTGGACGTGATACAAAATAACCTACAAGCTCAAATCCCATCTGCATCCTCGATCCAATAACGCCAATCTGACAAGCGGAGGTTAGATTCGCTCAAGAAGCACCACACAGACGAACCTGGTTTGATTTCCCCCCCGCGCTTTTTCGCAATGAAAGCCTCTGCGCGGGCCCAAAAATCGTTTCCTCCTCTTGACCCCAGCGCCCATTGTTCAATAGGGTTTTGAAGGCTGATGGTCACATAGCGGTTGTCAACATTGTCCAGCTCTTCACCAGCAGAGGCACTGCTGTGTTCGACAACAACCTCGAGCCTTTTGAAGGATGCAAGAATATGTGATGTAAGTGTATGTTCGGCGCCAAAGAGAATTAGATGTGTGAGGGATGGGAAATTGGTAAGGAAGGACAGCGAGGCAGGGATGTCAGTGTGTCGGACGAGTAATAGCAGATGGGTGACGAAAGTGAACATTGGTTGGCATAGATCCTTTGCAGCATGCAAAGAGGCGAAGTACCCCCATAACCGCCGCGGCCGCAGGGTGGAAAGAGCGGGGAGTATGGATGGAGGTATATTGGCCCATACGAATGATAATGATTGAATTCCGGTGCAGGCAAGGAGGATCTCCTGCAACATCTTATCTTCGCTTCCATCACTAGCCGGAGGGCCAACGTACAAATGGTGAACATGAGTGTGGAAGAAGGATGGGTCTTTGGAACCGGATTGAATCGCACGCGTCAGAGCGGCGAATGTGCAAGTGGAAAGCTCCCCCTTCGGTGTAACCGTCCTGTAATTGATCTTTACAATCCTTGACGCTAGATTAGTTTTCAAGCGGTTGTTGGCAGTTCCGCCCTCACCACTCATAGACTCGGTGCGAAACCAGAAGAAGGCTGGGGATCGTTTCTGGACATCTAATCGCCGCTTCCTCAAAGATTTCTCGCTCCAGTTCGAGAGGAAGGACGGGGGGAGAATCTGAGCTCATGATGGTAGTAAGAAAGCGAGATGTGATGGTATCAATCGCACCATCAACGTTTGCGTTCACGAGCATTTTGTAGCGACGAACCAGCTAGACGATGATCGATAAGGAGTTAACGAAATCATACATTATTATATTCTGTACAACTTGTTGTCCGACGAAGGGAATAAAAATAGGTGAAGAAGAAGAGTAAATACACGAAAAATCGTTCATCCAAAAATCTCGACCGTCAAACTTGACGTCCATTCCTCGGTTGAAAATCTCGTGTTTATCCCATCCCATGGATTCCTCCGCCTGACCAAGTAGCACCCAACCGCGTTCTGGGATAGGGAGCCAAGGGGCGCACACTGAGTTCTTCTGGGCTCTTAGACGAGATCAACGGTCGATGAATGTGCGCGGAGGAGTAAGGTGAAAATGATTTAGGCCTGTGAGGAGGTAAAGAGTCAGTAAGGCGACGGTGCGGAAAAAAATTCCAAGACAAACCTCAGCCTCCTCCTCGGGCTCCTCTGCGATGGTCTCACCGACGGGAGCGCTGCTTGAGGGGGCGGCGTCGGCGCCGGCCTGTGAGGAAGAATTCATTAGCGCTGATTTATACTGGGGGCGCGAGACGGAAAGAGGTGAGGCGATGGTGGATTGGGAATGATGGGGGAGGTGTGGTGAGGGTGGCAAGGGGGACGCAGGGCAAGACGACGACACCAACCTTGGATGCAGGCTTCTTGGATGCCGCGCGACTGGCGGGCTTGACGCTGCCTGCCTTGCTAGCGGGCTTGACGCTGGCGGCCTTGGATGCAGGCTTGGAGCCTGCTGCCTTGGAGGCGGGTTTGGCCTGTGGGGAGAAAGTCAGCATACATGCTTTAATGAAACAAGTCCTTCCTCGTCGTCGTGCACCCACGAGACCTGACAAGACGAGAAAAAGACCAACCTTCTTCGCAGGGGGCTCCCCATCCTCCGCCTCGCCATTCTCCTCCGCAGCGTCCTCGGCGTCGGCGGCAGGCTCCTTGCGCTTCCTTCCCCGCTTCGGCTTTTCATCATCGCCTTCCTTGGGCTCTTTCTTCGCGCGGGGCTTGGCCGGCGCCTTCTTCACGGGCGGGTCGACCTTGGGGAGGTCCTTGATGCGAGTCGAGCGACGGGGCTCGGCGGCGTCGGCGTCGGCAGCGGCTTTTCTGGGCATTGTGGGGGTTGCTGGTGGGGAAATTGGCGGGAAGGTACAGAGACGATGAACGCAGGAGGCAAGACGCGTGAGTTACTCCAAACGTTGGTCTTGTTTGCACATCCGCCCCTTTTTCCCATCACGTGCGTCGCGTCAAGCCATCAACAACAAGGGGAGTTTTCGCGTTTAATAGCCCACGGGGTGAAGGAAGGTCTCAAGACTTTGTGGGCACGCGTATTATGCTCCAAAGCTTCAGACCGCAAGATCCCAAGGGAAACAAATCACAACTTCGGATTAACGGCTTATTTTGGTAATGATGCACGGACCATTTTGCGCGTTTCAGGTCGTTTAAGGCGCAATTGACCGCTTTCGATTCCAAAACTCCCCCAGTATGTCTTCAAATGATTTTGGCAAGCACCCTACCACTTCTCTCTTATTTCCTGATCCATTCTTCCCGATATTTTACTGAAGTTACAAAAACACGGTGAGATCATTTGACGCCAATTTTATTTGCAGCTGACGATTTCAGCACAGTGTGTGAGCACATTTTTTTCTCCTTTTCATCATAGGAGTGAAAGAAGTAAGCCTACTCGGTGGATCAGTAATGACCTCTAAATGATGCGGGATAAGATCCATGATTCTGGAGGGGCCGGAGGTTCACTCCCCCCGAGGGTGTAGAAATCCAAGTTCTCTTTTAGTGTACCTGATCAGCAGGGTTTCTAGTAGTAGTTGAAGAGCCCCCTCGAGGATCAAGGTGATCATCCCGTTCATGTGAGTGTACCCGTTCATGCACGAGCGGCGGTTCGACTCCGTCTTCAATGCTCGAAGAATATTTTTTTATAATACCTGCGTTGTTTGCCTTTCCAACCTCATCATAAATCGCCAGCAAGGAAGGTTCATATAAAAAAGGGATAAAGTCTTCGGATCACGGTGATCACCTTTGAAACGTTATCGGCGCGATAATTGTTGCCGCGTCCAGTGGGATTTCTTAAGACCACCCAGAGTCTAACTACACTTAATCCAGTGGAAGAAATTGATAACCAGAAAGGCTTCCCGAAGGCTTGATAACAAGCCTTTGTAGTTCCATTGCCGGTAGTCAGAAAAATGCTCTGGTCTCCGGTCCTTAACGAGGGTTCGATTCCCTCCGGGAGCCTGTAGAAGCAAAGTCGCCCCTGGTTTTTCATTTTGTCTGAATCCAAAAAGAAATTATATATTCAAGGCTCAGGGATGACGGACATCAAGTGGGTTATGGTTATCGCCTCCAAGCAATGTATAGTTGTGTTGCTCAAATGAGGAGCCAACCTTGGATGCAGTCTTTTCCTTTTCAAGCCAACGGATAGCCGGATGGAAGAGAAAGCCTTCGTGGATTATGGTAGATCAACTCAACCCGGTGTTACCGTGGCTTCATTGGCGGTTCGATTCCTCCTGGAGGCATAGGTGTCAATGGATAGCCTGTATTTTTCACTTGCAGCTCTTTAAAGTAATACTCAGAACTGGAGGGCAAGGGATGCTCCAAGAAATATCAATGTCTTGTATCGATCATTTCAACATCCCACGGTTCTATCCATTATTTCAACATCCCCACGGTTGGGTTCACTGTCGCACGCTCTTGTTGGTGGGATGTAGGCTGCCTTTGCGAATTCATAGCAAGGAAAATCACTGACGAAACTCATGACAGATCTCCCCACTCCCTCAACTGGAAATCTCCCTTTTTTGAAAAAAAAAAACTCAAGCTGTCGGGGAGAGCTGATGGCATGTGTGAGCGACTGCAAGGGTGTGTTGGATAGGGGTTTATTTGCGAAAGGTGGAACGACCGGGTCTGACCCGACACTTAGCACCAAAACATGGTTCAAATACTTGCAGTAAGCGGGAGAAGATACACTTCGCACGGAAACCAAAAGTGTCGAAGAGCGCGCACGCCTCTAGTAGGAATCGAACCTACGTCTCCTCCGAAAACACACCACCACCAACCATGCTATGGAACGGAGGTGATGTATCGTTGATCCATAGAGGCTTATTCCCCATTCAACTGAACCTGTAGGAGTCCGGAGGATTTTGAGAAGACTGTGGAAGTTGTGGAAGGGCCGTTGAGTATTGATTGGATTGGATGTTGAAGAAGATGTTGTTAAAAAATCAAAAGTGTAGTTAGAAGGTTGACTTTTGGTTGAGAAGAGCAGATCTGCTTGCCGGTGATGTATCCAAGTAAGTTGTTAACACAAAAAGTCATAGAACCCCACCACTTAAGGCCCCAGCAGGAATCGAACCTACATCTCCTCGCTTTGCAATTTTCAGTTTCAATCCCGCAATATGAGCGGAGGCGATCTGGCGTTGATCTATGGAGGCTTATTCTCTGTTGAGCTGAACTTAAATGAGATTGGAGGACTTTGAGAGTACTAGTGCTCCCGACGATGTAATATTAATATAACGGCTGTTAACGTTGAATCTTCACTTCAATTTGATCGGATGTTGAAAATCAATCAAATGAGCGGTAAGGGTGCGGTTAAGATCTGAGGGCCGTACATTCGTCAAACAGAGCAGCTGCCTAGCATGCGAAGAGTGGGGTTGGCACATTCAAAGTCAGTTGCCAACATAAAAATGGAGTTGGATCCAGAAGCAGGCCCCCAGCAGGAATTGAACCTACATCTCCTCCCAAACCTATGTTGCACAAGAACGATGCAGAGGCGATTTAGCATTGTCTATAGAGGGTTATCCTGGAAGAGGTGGTTGTGTATAGTCAAAGAAAATGAAATGTGATTGATTCATCGCAGGAGGACCTTGCAACTTAGTCTTACAGGAAGTTGATTATCAGTTCAATTGAACCACAGGTTTGAATTGGATGGACCCCCAAGCCGGGCAAGGTTCGAGATCCTGAGGTGTTGAAGGGCAGCACACAAAGGCAAAATAAAAAGGTGCAACCCTAGAGGACTACGCCCCAAGCAGGAGTCGAACCTTACGTCTCCTCCGAAGTATCCTCGTGGCAAATTTACGCAGCGAAGGTGATCTAACACTGATCTATAGAGGCTTAATGGTGTTGGAGCTTACTAGATGAGAGTATAATCTGTTTGGAGGGTGGAAGAGTGCCGCCGCGGAGGTGAATATGATTCGTGTTTTTTCGCGGTTCGAAAGGTCGAGGCTCGGATGGGTGTTTGAATGTTGAATCGACTCAGGGGCAAAGTTTGTGCCTCGAGCACGGTTGAATGTTGTGAGGTTTTGAAGCACCGAGAAAAAATAAAAAAGATGAAAGAAGCAACCAAACACCTCCAGTAGGACTCGAACCTACGTCTCCTTCGAAGCATACTTGGAACAGGAATCAATACGCAACGCAGGTGATCTAGCATTGATCCATAGAGGCGTATTGACCAAGTGTTCAACCCTACTGGGTGCGAGTATAATTTGATTGGATTGCAGTGGCTCGGGGTGATTGTGGTTTAAAGGCTTGAGGTTTGGATGGGTGCATGTTCGAATGTTGAATCTCAATGCAAGGCGAAGTTTGTCTGTCGTCGAGCACTATTCCATGTTGCGAGATTTTGAAATGCGGACAGAAAAAAAGTGAATAGGACCATCCCAGTGCCTCCAGTAGGAGTCGAACCTACGTCTGCTCCGAATTATCCTAGAAAGCAACGCACGCAGCGGAGGTGATCTAACACTGATCTATGGAGGCATATTGACCTGGTGGTGAGGCTGAGTAGGTGGGAGTATAATTTGTTTGGAGGGTGGAAGGCTGCCCCGGCTCGAGGTGAATATAATTACAAAGGGCCAAGGCTTGAATGGGTGCCAATAGTGAATTGAATCAAGGTCTCGCCTTGACGCGCAAGTTTCATGTCGAACACTATTCCATGTTGCGAGGTTTTGAAGGGCGGACAGAAAAATTAAAGCTCGCAGAGGCATTAAACGCCTCTAGTAGGACTCGAACCTACGTCTCCTCTGAATTCTTCAACAGAGCACGACATGCAGCAGAGGTGATTTAACATTAATCCATAGAGGCTTGTTGGCCTGGTGTTGAACCCTACTACCTGGGAGTATAATTTGATTGGATTGCAGTGGCTCGAGGTGATACTGGTTTAAAGGGTTGAGGTTTGGGTGCATGTATGAATGTTGAATGGAATCTCAACTCGCCGCGCAAGTTTGCGCGCCGAGCACCGGTGAATGTTTTGAGATTTTGAAGTACCGAGAAAAAATGAAAAAGTGCATACGTCTCCCCCGAACTACGCTCGTGGCAAGCAGGCCCACGCAGCGGAGGTGATCTAACATTGATCTACAGAGGCTTGTTCATGTTGACCTGGTGGTTAGGCTTACTAGGTGGGAACTCAATTTGCTTGGAGGGTGGAAGAGTGCCGCTGATGCATGTTTATTTGCGGTTCAAAGGGCCAATGGATGGGTGTTTGACTGTCGAGTTGAGGGGCAAAGTTTTTGCGTCGAGCACCAATCAATATTTCGAGATCTTGAAGTATTGAGAAAAAATGAAAAAGTGCAGACTTCACTACAAACTTGAATACCTCCAGTAGGATTCGAACCTACGTCTCCTTCGAAGTATGCCTGAACAGGGTGATGCAGCGGAGGTGATCTAGCATTGATCTACAGAGGCTTATTGACCTAGTGGTGAGGCTTACCAAGTGGGAGTATAATTTGCTTGGAGGGTGTAAGAGTGCCGCGCTTGAAGTGAATATAATTCGTGTTTATTTGCGGTCGTGGCTTGGATGGGTGTTCAAATGTTGAATTGAAGCGACGCAGAGTATGTGCATTGGCGAGAGAAAAAATTACCGTACAGATCACACTTAACGCCTCCAGTAGGACTCGAACCTACGTCTCCTCCGAATTATCCGTCATGCGCCACGCAGCGGAGGTGATTGAACATTAATCTATAGAGGCTTGTTGACCGGGTGTTGAAGCCTACTACTAGGTGGGGGTTTTGGCGTCGGAGAGAGCATGATGAGCCGGGATGATCTTGCGAGTTGAGATTCTGGAAGTTCCGAACTGGCGCATAATTTGAACTCCGGGCCCGGGTGGGCTTTGCGAGGGTACAGCGGTTGGTTGAACGGCAAGTGTGATTATTTGAGTGAGTGAAGGTTGAATGGGCGCAGGTCGATTGAAGTTCATTCAACGCGGGTTGTATGAATCCGCATCAAGTGACGGAGTGAGTCGAGGCATTGGGACGGCGTTACCCACCAGAACCAAGGGATCTTCCGGGCCTCAGCACCGAGTTGCGCACACGACGTTGATGAGCTCCGGGTTCAATCTAAAATAAACCCGCTGAATATTTTTTTATGCCCCCAGGAGTTAAAGATTCTAGCCGCGTGCAAATTCTCGTTGTACGCTGAAATGCTAGGCGTGACGGTGAGTTGAAGCCCGCGGTCTCGTGTCGCATCGCAGTCAATATCCTAGCTTCAACCTTCGTCTTGAAGCACCCATTCGATATCTTCGCGCGACGCGACGAGAAAAGATGAGAACGCAACGGTTTGGTTTCGCGGCGTGTTGGGTCTTGATTAAGCAGGGAGCGCGAGGTCGACGGAGAAGAGAGCACGAGGGGTCGAGGGCTGGTGCTTTGAAGGCGTAGCTTGGACGAAGTACCAGGGGCGCGCGAAGAACTATTAGCGCCGCAGTAGAGCCAAGATGTAGCGGCGAGACCTAATTCAATTTGAATGTTTGATTGCTTGCCAAGCTTAGTCCAGTTCAGGTTCAATTGAATTGCCAGTATCGTGTCGCATCGCCGCCGCGCATTCCATAATTTGCTGTGGCGAGACACGAATCAAGCCAACGCCAAGATTGGCTGGCATTGGATTGGTTTGACGGGGTATTCGGTGTGATTAAGCAGGACTGAGAAGAGAGCACGAGGAGTAGAGAGCGCCCCGAATCGTGTCGACGTTTCAGTCAGCGCCGTCGAGTCGCCGCCCTCTGTGGATCAGTTTGAAGCGGGTGTTGCTGATAGCGGCGTCCTCGTAATCCCGCTGACTCACAAAACAGCTGTCAACACCCTCTTAATTTCCCTCCTCACCATGTCCTCCCTCAAACGCCCGCCCGCCCACCTCCCACACGACCCCGACACCGACGACGACGACCAAGCAATCGACCCCGAGCTCCGTCTGCGCACCGTCCGCACCGCCCACTCCGCCATCGCAGAGAGCATTAATATTGTCGCAGATGCGCGGCAGACGCGCAGGAGACGCACGTTCTTTCGAAGAAGAGGGGAGAAGGAGAGGGAGAGGAAGTTGGAGGGGGGGGCACCCAGACCGGAGGGGAGGAGAAGGAATGTGTATGTCAATACGCCGTTGCCGCGGGGAGAGGTCGATGCGGGTGGGGATCCCGTGGTGAGGTATCCCAGGAATAAAGTCAGGACGACGAGTGGGTGTTGTTTCTATTACTGGGTTTAATGCTAATCAAGGCAGAGTACACCATACTCACATTCATACCCCGCAATTTGTACGAACAATTCCGACGCATTGCAAACCTGTTCTTCCTTACAACTGTCGTGGTGCAACGTACGCCTTCCATTAATCATTAAGCATTCCTAACACCTTACAGTATTCCCCGTCTTCGGCGCCGCATCCGGCGCCGTCGCCGTCCTCCCCCTCGCCTTCATCCTCACCGCCACCGCCATCAAAGACGGCGTCGAAGACTACCGCCGCGGCCTCCTCGACGAAGAGGTCAACAACTCACCCACCACCCGTCTCCTCCTCCCGCCTTTGCACAACCCCCACCTACCGAGCTCGACGCCGGACCGACCCACGGGGAACCCGAACCCGAATTTACCGAGGGATGGCCGCTCGTGGGTGGAGAAGCTGCTTGGGCTGAATCGCCCGGGGAGCGTTAGTAAGGGGGTGAGGAACCTAAGGGCGAGGGAGGCGAAGGGGGAGTTGGAGGGCGCAAGTGAGAGTACTTTGAATGTGGATGCGCGCTCGGTTGACGTGGGTGAGTATTCTTCTTTCTTATATTGGTATGATGTTAATGTGCGCAGGCGGAGACACCCGCTCGCTCGCCTCCACGGCGCACTCGTACCCGCCGCCCGCCGTGCTCGACCCCGATATGCGTCCCGGCGCCGCACAGTGGGAACGCACGCTCTGGAAGAAGCTCGAGGTGGGCGATATCGTGTTGTTGAGGGAGGATGAGCAGGCGAGTTCTATATATCTTTATTCTTTTATATACCTACTAACACGCAACACCCCCAGGTCCCCGCAGACATCCTCGTCCTCGCCACCTCCGACCCCGACGGCAACTGCTACCTCGAGACAAAGAACTTGGATGGGGAGACCAATTTGAAGGTGCGTTGCGTTGATGTCTTCTTTGTGTTCTTGCTTTGGTGGGTTTGAGTGCGGTGTGAAGAGGAGTGTGGGATTGGAGTGGGAGGGTGCGGGCGGACGTTGGTCTTGCGCGCCGATGGGTGTGTTTGGCTCGGTCGCGCGTTGGCTTGGGGAGCGCTCGTGGCGCGTGTCCGCCCTCCCTTCGACGCCTATCGAACGAGACACGGCCAAGCATCGCGACTGTGGCGGTCGAGGGACGTGCGGCGTGGGCTTGGCGTTGGAGAAACGGAGAGGAGGGAAACGTTTGCACGCGGGGAGTGTGGGTTTGAGAGCAAGGGGAGGGTCGTGTCGCGTACGTGGGCTGTGGTGTACGCGCGGGCAGATACGCGGTACAAGGTGCAAGCGCGGGGGTCCGTGTGTGTGCGCCAGCTCATAGGGCATTTGGGCGGCGTTCACTGAGCGTACGTGTGTATCGTCCGTGTCTGAGCATGGTGGAGTGGCGAGTCGATGTGCGCGCAACGTAGGCGTGCGGCGCTGCATGACCTGGCCCACGTCGGGTGCTTTGGGCGCGCACACTGCCTACTCTCGAGCCCCGTTTTTGTCATCATCATCTCCTTCTCCCTCCCTCCCGTCCCTTCGTCCCCTCCCCTCACCGCTAACCAACACCCCAGCTCCGCAAATCCCTCTCCGCCACCCGCGGCCTCTCCTCCGCCGAAGAAGACGTCCAGCGCGTGCGCTTCGTCCTCGACTCGGAGCCGCCCTCGCAGAACCTCTACCTCTACCACGGCGTCCTGCGGTATCGCGATTTTAGTGCCGGCGCGGAGGGCGCGTATGGGGGCGTGCGTGGTGATGCGTGCTTCCCTCAATTCCATTCCTCTTTTAATTGATGTAATGTGGGAATAGGGACCGCAGGCGGCGGGGCGGAAGACCGCGCAGAGCCGGTGAGCATCAACGAGCTGCTGCTGCGCGGGTGCGCGCTGCGGAACACGGCGTGGGTGGTCGGGCTCGTCGTGTTTACGGGCGCGGATACCAAGATCATGTTGAATGGCGGGGAGACGCCGAGTAAGCGGTCCAAGGTCGGTCCCCCTTTCTCCGTCATAATGTGGTGTTAATGGGACCCGCAGATCGAACGCGAGACAAACTTTAATGTGGCGGTTAACTTTGGCGTGCTGCTCGCCATGTGCGTCGTCGACGCCATCTTCAGCGGGCTCGAGGACGCGCGCACGGATACGAGTGCACGGTTGTTTGAGCAGGGGACGGACCCGACGACTGTGTATGTGCTTAATGCGCTGGTGACGTTTGTGTGAGTCCGCGTCCCCCCTCCCTTACTCGAAGTGTTATTGCGCGTCGCTAACGCCCCGCAGCTCCTGCATCATCGCCTTCCAGAACATTATCCCCATCTCGCTCTACATCTCGATCGAGATCGTAAAGAGCATCCAGGCGTACTTCATCTCGCAGGACATTGAGATGTACTACGCCGGGTACGACACGCCGTGTGTGCCAAAGACGTGGAATATTAGCGATGATTTGGGGCAGATTGAGTGCGCTGCTTTCTTTCATTGATTAACTTGGGGAGATGCTGTGTAGGTACGTCTTTTCGGACAAGACGGGCACGCTCACGCAGAATGTGATGGAGTTTCAAATGTGGTACGGCGAGGGCGGCGCCTGCCCCGCGGACACGAGGTGCGTTCTTGATGTTGTACATACTTTGTTGTATGTAAGTAGTCTTGAATATAATTTGCTTTCACGACCAACCTTGTGTGAATGGCTGCATTGACACGTTGTTTGGATGTTGCTGGCCTCTTCAACGTGCTATCCGGAAATTTTGTTTGACACGGGCATGGGCCGGTGAGCTGGTTTTACCACACGGATTGAACTCACGGTGATTCCAGACCTGAAAAATTTGGGCCGCAGGCGCCGTTGAAATTGAATGGTTAAAGACACGGTCTTCAAGCATTAAAATGTTTCTTCGCCGCGGCCGCCGTCTTTGGGAAACTCCTGCCCGTTGACTTGATTTGGTCGAAATCAAGTTTCAGGCCTCCGAAAGCCTGATGGCCTTATCAGCTTGGGTCAGTACTTAAACTTCCTCGTCAACCAGATTCGGTTTTTCCGACCGGGGTTGTGACCCGACGCGCCGAATGGAAGGCCGGCCCTCGTTAGGACCTTGAATTGAATGTGTGAGGCTCCAGACCGTAAAATGCAATCTTTTTCTTGGCCGCGGGCGCGTTCAGTCTAATAATCAATTGTTAAATTCGAGATGGGTCTTGAATTGAGGCTGGGAGTATCGGGCGAGGATCGAGACGCGTCGGACGCGTCAATTAATCTCACTTGAGACGATTGTAAACGGTGTCACTGTCAAGTGAATGATGGGATGCCAGCTTGCACAGCTTCCTCTTTACTGCATACCACGACAACACACCCTCCCTACTTTTTTGCAGCCCAAGACGGACTATACTGGGATTGACGAGACGGCTAACGGCGGCTCAACAGCACCCGGCGGCTATGGCGAACGAGACATCTCGACAACCCGCCATCTAAGGGGGCCCTGAACGCAGTGAAGAACCTATAAATTGTTTCTTCCCCTGACAGCCTTCTGATCGATCTCGTCATACTTTACATGAAGGGGTCTGTCAA